CCCACTGTTGTTTTTTGGCCCAATGGCCCGAGACGCACTTCCTATCCCTCCACTAAATGAACGTCCTAATGCAAATCAGCCATTTCTAGATGATCATCCAATCATCCAATCATCCGTTTCAAAAGTAGAGACTTTGCAGCCATGTTAGTCACCAGAGGGCTAACCCTGCCAAGCTCTCTGCCAGCTAGTTGCCCAAAGCGCTGCGCCGCTGCCATCCCATGTTTTCCCATGGTCAGGACTGGGCCTCCAGGTGTGCATTGCTTGGTTTGGTGTCACCCTATGTCTTTCCGCGTTTTCCTGGCGTTTGTCTCGCTGAATGCCACTGCTGCGCGTGAACTGTTGACCTCACCTGCACGGTTCACTGGGTAAACCTTGGTTGGCTAGTCTATATATTAAAAAGATATGCGTCAGCTAGAACAGATCTTGTATACAATTTTTAAAAAAAATGCCATATTCTTTTGCAGAGCCTTCTTGATGAACAGGGCATATCAGGGCATCCCTTTAAGAGCCGATCCAATTTCCCCGGAGCATCTCATCAAAAGAATGGCAATGACTTGAGGATGGGTTTTTTTTCAAATTCCCTGATGTTTGAAAAAAAAAACTTAGGAGACTCCAAAAATGTGGCATGTTCTTGGATGATAAGTTCTGTTTTTTTCGCTTAATTATATCACCTAAAAATCCGGAGACAACCGTGCGGGCTTCGAATTAATCCAAGAGGAAAATATCCTTGTCCTTCATCCATCTGTAGATATATCCACCACAAACCCATAGTTAGTGTACCTATACTCACTTGACCGTGTCTCTTGGTTGGTTATAGCAAAACACGATTTTTGCAGGTTACAATCCATGAAAATCTCCATTTTATTGCTTTTTTTTGTGCTTTTTGTCCATAACGTCAGCAGATTTTCGCACCCAGTGTCCACCGTTTGGCGCGCTTTGCGATCTACCGATTCAGGGTGCTGGTATAGCTGGATGGTGATTTCCCCAGTATGGTAATTTCATAGGTTTTGACCCATCCCCATATTATCATACACTAACCAGCTATGTTTGATTATTGTTGTATTTTTGTTGCCGGGTATCTAAGATTGGCCAAATTTTGCTTGGGAAATAATTACCCATAAGGCGACATAGCATGAATTAAAATGATCAAGCAAATTTGCCTTATTTCAGGTTGGTGAATTCTTATAATTCAATCAGCCAATCAATGTGGAAATACAGGACTGGACTTGGACGGTCCTGTTCCCGGGCGCATCGTAGATCAACTGGAAATTGTCTTTAAGAAATGTCAACTGTTTTCTGCACAATTGTCTTTTCCAAAAAAAAACGCTTCTACGTTGTAAATCCCTCGAGACCCGAAATGATAGTCGTGAAGCGTTCCTGGCATCACGGCATGGCACGACCCGGGGGAAAGATCCGTCCCTTTTTTGGGGGATGGTCTGCCCCGGTTTCTGCCGTTGATTGGAGAAAAATGTGGAGACATGGTCGGAGAAACAACTGGTTTTGTTCAACCGAAATGTGATGAAAATGGGGAATAACCAGTATTAAAACCCCTTTTTCTATAACGAGATGTTTTTAATTCCCCATGGTTTGTGATCAACAGAAAAGGGGTATTTAAAACGAGCCATGGGGATTCAACCAGTAGCACAATCATCAACTTTAGTAGGTAAGCAGATTACCCTTTGGTAATTTGTTACATAGCTATTGAAAATGGCTATTGATAGTGGATTTTCCCATGAAAAATGGTGTTCTCCCATAGTTATGTAAACGTTTACCAGAGGGTAGTCACTGCAGCCTACTGTGGAAATACTGAACACTTGGGTGATCTTGGGTGTGCCCCCAGACCGGACAGCCTTTTGCCAAGAATCAGACTCTAAGTCTCTATGTCCAAAAGCATCATTCACATTCACCGTGTAAGATGAAGGGAACCGTAAGCCAAAGATGTGAGGTTCCAAAATTAGATTGTTTTTGGTCCGAAATATGATATCAAATAGTGGATTGTGTGTTGATTGTCTACAAATTCAAGCAACACCTACCTCATCCTACCTCTGTCTATTGGTCTATAAATGTCTAGAAGTGTTACTGGACATCACAGTTTTACAACGCATGACATGTTCGTGGAGTAAAGGATCTTTTCTTCCAGAGGGGATATGATGGAAATGTTAGAGGAAGCCCTGAACCATGTGGATTGCAAATCCCTCCTGTACATTTCAACATGTTGATTGTATCCCATTGTATCCCCTAGGAATGGTTAGCGAAAATATCCCTGATTCTTCTTGCTGATATATATATAAGATATCGGAGAATTATGCTACAATATTCCTATGCTCCATTGATGTTGGGTCAGCTAAGGAGTCAGGGATTTGTCAAAAAAACAACAAAATGTGCAGCTAAAGAGCCCAATGCACCCCCACATTCGTAGGTAGCCATGATTTGAGATGATCTTCCCTTAAAAGTTCAATGCTTTATCCATGTTTATCTTCATGTTCCTTGTTGAAATAGCCATTATAATCATTATTTGGGGGGTAAATCCCACATGTTTTGGACAAAGCCCTATGATTTTCTCAGAAGTGGGGCCTGATTCCTCCAGGGAACAGCAGAGGCCCATGGCCGCCATGCCACGCCATGCCACGCCGCCACGCCGCCGACGTGTTTATGGTCCCATCCCAAAGCCAGCTCAACTGAGCCGCAAAAATGGTGATTTTTCACCAGTCTTCAATCAGAACTCAATCACCAGTACACTAGGGATTCAAAATGGTGATACATTTGACCATGTTTTTTGGGATTATGATGATTCACCTAAAGATGAATGAATCATCATAATCCCTATACACAGCGTATAACAGCTAGGTGAATGTGAAATCACCATATACCACGGTTCAGCTACTGCGGATACCATGGGGATGTTTTTTTGGGTGAATTATGGATCTCACCGACCCAAGGGCCGGAGGGCCAAAAGAATGAATTCATATGGATCTCATTCCATTATACTGGTTGATGATGGTTGGTGAATAGGGATGTCCAGCTCATGGATCATGAGAATTCCCAACAGATCCCGAACTCTTCCCACACCCTTAAAAGTGTTTCTTTTGCCCCACGTTTGATACTTATATCCTAGGGGCATGGAACATCCTTGTTGATGGGTGGTATTTGGGGTTCAATCCTGGTCGCTTTAGCAGTTTCTATCATCAAAATTTTCCCCAAGAGATAGATCCTCTTGGGTCCACAGTGATTCAAGGCTTTGGGATTTCGATGGAGTCTGGAACGTGGACGACCAGCTATTTTGAGGTGAGGGGATAGTTTTTTGGGGATAGAATGACGCAGCCCAATACAATTGATGACGGATATATCTTTTGGAGAATATTGACTGATTGGTGGTTTGGAACATGAATCTTGTTTTTCCATATATTGGGAAAACCATCCCAACTGACTAATATTTTTCAGAGGGGTTGAAACCACCAACCAGATAAGGTTTATAATGGTTGATCCTTGGGTGGGTCAACGGACACTTGTCTAGAGGCGGGGAAAAAAAAACTCCATACGAATCACTATATTAAATACATGGTTTTGTCCAAAAATAGGGGGGTCACCCCAACAATTGCTGTTTTAATGGGAAAATGGATGGAGAATCAATGGGTGTGGCTCTAGCCCATTCTTGAACAAACCCATATGTATGTATGAATATTGTATGTATGTACATATATATATATACTGGTTGGTGGTTTGGAACATGAATTCTATTTTTCCATATATGGGAATGATCCTTCCCATTGACGAACTCCATCATTTTTCAGAGGGGTAGGGCTCAACCACCAACCAGTTATAGCCATTGCTGGATGATTGATCCATTTATTACGGGAATTATATGCTGGTACCCAAGACAGAAAGTATATAAATCCCTGAATCACTTGGAGTCACTTGGAGAATTCCGTGTGAGCATGTCGATCGTGTTGAGGACCCCCGTACATTGTTTAGGTATGTTTCCCTATATAGTTTAGATGTTTTTTTTGTTGTGAACTGGCAACTGGTAGAACTTGTCCACATCAAAAAAAAGGTGTGGGATAAATTTGACGAAGATCTCCACTTCCAGATTTCATCCTGATGGCACTGCCATCTGTGCCACGCCCAATACGGGCGATTTTTGGCGTCCAAAGGCTCGAAAAAAGGGAACCTTCAAACGTTAGGGTCCTTTACTTTAGCGCCTTAGCGCCACTGCCAGTTGGTCTTGTCTTATGGAGAAGTCACTTGAAGCGCCCGACCATCGAACAAGATCCCAAGAGATCCCAACCATTTCGATGGTCGTCTGGCCATAGCAGCTCTGGTCTTAGTCCATTCCCCTGCTGAAGTTCCTCTGAATACTGCTGGTTCGTAAACTGACCCAGGCGTGAAAACGCAGTTGATGTTGATTGAATTGTGGAAGGGAGGAATGAATGAATGAAATGAAACGGAATAAAATGGAATTTAATTAGTGAGTGAGTGAGTGGGTGAGTGAATCACAGAATGAATGAATTGAACAAGAATTGAACGAATTTTGAACGAATTGAACGAATTTTGAACGAATTGTGAACGAATTTTGAACGAATTTTGAACGAATTTTGAACGAAATTTGAACGAAAATTGAACGAATTTTGAACGAATCTTGAACGAATTTTGAACGAATTGAACGAATGTTGAACGAATTTTGAACGAATTTTGAACGAATTTTGAACGAATTATGAACGAATTTTGAACGAATCTTGAATGAATCTTGAACGAATTTTGAACGAATTTTGAACGAATTTTGAACGAATTTTGAACGAATTTTGAACGAATTTTGAACGAATTTTGAACGAATTGAACGAATTGAATGAATTGAATGAATTGAACGAATTGAATGAATTGAATGAATTGAATGAATTGAATAAATGCCCATTGATGTCCTTTACCCACTGATGGATTGATTAGCAGACGGCCCCGCCATTCTACACAATCACTAGGAACCAACAGGTCGATTTACTAGGCAAATGTCAACCAAGCAACACCTCTTCTTTTATGCAAAGGAACATGGTTGGAAAGACCAGCAGGCACAGGCGGCATCTCTCACAGGTAGCTTTCTCGGTGAATGCCCAGAATGCCATCTGAGCAGAGACCAAAACACCATGGGACCAGCAGTATATCGAGGGCGTCACAGACCCTACCATCAAGAGATCGCTTTGTGAGTGGTATCCCCGACTGGAAAAAGTCTTCATCCAAAGGGTCAAGATACTCCATATATCTCCATATGGCATAACGTGATAAATCTATACATATCTATACAAATCTGAGACAGCCTGCAAAGGACTTGTGAGATTTGCTGGGTCTTGCATGGCTTTCCAGAAGAAACAGCTAGCCATCGACGGTCAGGTCATGTCAGGTCGCAGGTCCCCATCAAGGAGTCCTTGTTCCCATATGAGTCTTTCAGGGATAAGATGTCTATGTCCATCTCAGCTAGAAACTCCCAGTCAGTTAAGCGATGCAAGCGATGCGGAGTTTCCAGACCCACAGATTTCTTGCTGTTTTTTCCTGAATCTATGAGTGTTTGATACATGTCATGATAAACCATTACTATATCATCTATATCTGATTGGTGCTTTCAAGCATTTTTTATTTTTCCATAATATATGGGATAATCCTTCCCAACTGACGAACTCATATTTTTCAGAGGGGTTGAAGCCAACAACCAGACCACTATTGTCCATGGCCCATCAGTCCTGAGGAATGAAATATTGATGCAGCCGTGCAGGAAATTGGTCACTGCCGAGTGCTAATAATAGCTTCTCGTGAAGGATTGGTCAGATATGCCACTGGCTACCTCTCGACATGTTCAGTTAGCGAAGAATGATGTGGATGTTACTGTATGTTTGTAAATAGATATACATAGATATACCAACTGGTTAGAGAAATCTGATGAAATATGGATATATGTTGGTAAATCATAGTTAAGAATGATGTGGATGCACAACTGGTCATGTTCTAATATCTCTTAGGCGTGTATCCCTTAAAGGTTGTCAAAATTGTCCAATCTCTTCACGCCGACGAACCAGCCCAGCGCGGGAAAACTCGCCACGCGACTCCGACCTGAAATCGACTTGTAAAAGAGGCTGAAGACCAAACTCGTGGGAATCCCCTCCAGGAAACAACCGGAGGGAAGTCCAAGTTCTTACGTCCTATTTCTATCCCTTAGTGATGACAAGTTATGTTTAAAAAGATATATTCGAAACTAGGATGTGTCCAATCAAAGCCTCCATTTCTATCATTTGTGAGGGGTTTCCCATGTCTATTGTCAGGTTTCTTGTTGCCAGATCAACGGAGAAAGCTGGTTCAGGATCATGGCTCATAGTGGGACACACTTGTGAAAGGCGCCTGCTCAATATTTTCAGTAGATTTAAGAGGTCAAATGACATTTAATGAGTACGAAGGTCAAGATTATTGGGCCCAAAATAGATGGTTTTTTCTCGATTCCGACAGTAAAGTCATGGCCAAACAAACTACACAAAAATGATCCATGTGTCCTATTGTTCAAGAGTGAGTGAAATGATACAAAATTCCTGGTTGGTGTTTTGGAACATGTTTTATGACTTTCCATATATTGGGAATGTCATCATCCCAACTGACTTTCATATTTTTCAGAGGGGTAGGGCTCAACCACCAACCAGCTATTAATCACCATAAAAATCCCATGAATTTCCATGAATTCCTTCCCAAATTCTGATGTGTATGATATCCCCACAAACCTCTTCATGGTATCCTGCTTTATCCCACTTTATCCTTATGATTCGGGGTCCAAACTTCTCTCCAAAGGGATGATCTGAGACTCCCTGGACTCCCTGGCAGGCGGTTGCACCGCTCACGCGGAGCAGATTGTTTGCCTCAAACTCCTGGGCTAAGCCGAGCCGCGGCAAAGGTGGGAGCTGGAGATTCGTCTGGGAGGGGTTATAATTGATGGGATATCACAATTTTTGTTGCCAATAATAATGTGGTTAAAACAACAATAAGCCATCCCCTAATCACCAGAAATAGGTAGTGTAAACCATTCCCTAGTGGGTGGTTTATTATTGTTTTACCCCGCATTAATAGAATTAGGGGTTATTCTTTTGCTTGACAATGAAATGGGATATCGCGAAATTACATCCAATATCATATCCCCAGTTCATTGATGTTGATATATCCCATCATTATATATATATATTGTATATATATATATATATCATATATACATATATATATGAATTCATATCCCTAAATAGAGGTTTCCTAAGTCCGGGGGTACCCCCAAATTTATCCAAGTCACTAGACCATTTGAGTACTAAAACAACCATGGCGACTTGGGGATGCCCCATTTTCAAGAAACCCGAAATTGATGGGATATCACAAAAAATTGGAACATAACTACAGACTACTAATAGGACTATAATTCGATATATTTTGGGGATATAGTTTACTATAATTCTATATGTTGCCGACTATTTAAAAAAAAAAAGTACTATAATGTAAACTATTAAAACTATCTATATAAGACCCTTTGGTAATCAAATTTTACCTGCTAGAAAATCCACCATTTAGTTCAACAATTTTTCCAGCTCTTGAGTTCCGGATTTTCCATTGCCACGTTTGATTACCAGAGGGTATATGACTATTAGAAGTATTGATAAACCCTTATTATAAATCCAATAAATATAGTTACAACTATTAGTAATAGTCATATAAATAGTCGCACTTATAACTATTATATAACTATTACTATGTTAACTTATAGTTACAACTGTTTATTCTAGTTACCACTATTTATAGGATGATCATCCAAAAATGCTGATGGGTTTTCAGCTTTGGAATGAATTGTTCTTTTCGTTTTCTGGATATGACAACCCCAGATTTATATATATATATATATACTGTATCTATCTATCTATCTACCTATCTATCTATCTACCTACCTACCTATCTATCTATATATATATATATATTAGGCTAAGCTGTTGCACGGTTGCTTAATGGGCGGAAAGTTAGCGTTGTTTCGAATTTGGAACATGTGAGGTAATATGTGATGTCCCGCAACAAACAAATATGTTTTTTGTGGGTTGTCTAAGGTTATCCATGACCTGGGAAGAATCCTGGGTGCTGACCACGCATTGGATTGGTCAGTGGTGATGCGGCTGGTGAAACCCCAAGTCCAAGCGGTAGAACACAACCAACCAACCGAGATGGGATTTTATTTTAAAAAAATGCGCAGAATTTAGAGTTGTTTGAAGGTTGATCCAGGTGTTTTTCTCAATTTTCGCCCAGAGATTTTTAGATCAGATTTTTAGATCATTTTTAGACTTTCTCAGTCACAGAAATGCTGAAATTTGTAGCTAAGATCACCAACATTTTTGGACCATGTTGAACATCCATTGGACGTCCATGACTGATGGTTGAAATTTCAATCATTCCAGAAATATCATATTGTTGGTGATATCATACCATCATCCCAGTAGCATTCCGTTGTAGAAATCCTATTGTACACACATGTATTAGTACTAATATCAAATACCCCATTAAAGATACCATTAAAGATCCCATCAACAATAATAACAATAACAATATACATATATATGTATATATATATATATTATCAATATCCCATTAAAGATACCCTTAAAGATACCGCAGATATAGTCCCCCCAAAACTCCCAAAATCTCGGGTGTTTCCAGCGGAGGTCGTGGAACTGGCCCAACTGGCCACTATTTCGACCAAGGAAAAACTGGAACTGTGGCCAAAAAAATGGCTGGACTGCCATAAAATGTGGATTTCTATGGTGGTTTTACAAAATGTGGAGTTTAGTTGAAAATAATGTTTAATCATCAATGAATTGCATGAATTGTGAATTATATTGAATTATTTATCTGGATCCATTGGTGATTGGTGGATCCAGTATGATATAGATTGATTTAGTGTGAGACGGTGAAAAACATGTCAGTTTCATGATAGGGAGCTTCCCAAAGTAGTGATAAATGATACTGATAATTTCCATTGTAACGGAGAGCCCCACGTATTTTCTCAACGGGGGATAATAATTGATTCTCAGTAACAAGTGATTCTGAGTGGAAATCTGTGCAAACGTACTATGTATCGATGATTTGGGTCTTTTTTAAGACAAAAATTCCTGGGGAAAAAGTTCCAGGAGGTTGAAATTGCCTGCAGTTGTGGGGGTACATCAGGTTTTGACCTGGCTAGAACTGCGGATGTGAGATGATCGGCTGTAAATCCTAGTTATTGTTGACCCCCATGCTGACAAGGAAGATGATCATCTCTGATATTTATCAAATTCATTACATATGTTTGACACCAGTCAATGTGTTGGATCTGACGATGATGAATAGCAGTGTTGACTTGATGTTATTTTGTATTTATAGGCGTTTCAAAAAAGATAGAACCGTTTTTTCCACGATGTTATACACGATGTTCCCCCATCATTTCCGATTTCCAGCTGTCCAACTTGTGCTTCTCTATGGCTGAGTTCTCCCAGGAAGCGACAGCACTGTGGGGTCGAAGCATTACTGGAGCGCTGTGGAGGAGTCCAGGGCACCCCGGGTGTCGGCCAACCCATACTTTGGCGTCTGGGATGATGTGGCGGCAGGTGGTGGCGCCAAAAAGATCCAGATGGAAAATTCATGGTGAATGGATACCTCAAAAAAAAAACAATGCTCATGTTTTATGCCAAATGCCCGAAAAAAAGGGAGCCTAGTTTATAGATGGTTTGACTATAAAATGCACCACCAGGGTTACAGTTTAGATATGTTTATATCATTTCGTGCCCAGCATAAAAGATGATAGTGCCGGTTATAGGTTGCAACCGGATGGTCAACCTATTTTGTGACCATCCTGTTGAAGGAAAATGCTCAGTGGAGTGGGTGAGTTCAAGCTTCTTCAAATGGAGTGTTATTCAATTTTTACTATTGTAACCGCTTCCAAAATGTGGTACAGACTTCTCTTCACATGATGGGATGATGGGCCAATACATACCTAAATAACGGAGGTACTGTTCTGGATAACCCCACTTCATGATGGTTATCCAGTTCAGCCTATGTTCAGGTCAACACAAGTCAGGAAGCAAAGCACACAAATGCAAACGAAAGAGGAACATTACCCTCTGGTAAACACACAAAAAACTATTGATATGGGCCATTTATAGTTGATTTACCTGTTGGAAAGACTGATTTTCCATAGTCATGTTAGTCTACTAGAGGGCAATGTATCTTGAAAACTAAAACTCAGACAGAAAAAAAAACATACTACGAAGAAACAGATGAGAGCTCAATTCAACTTTGCCTGGGTGACATTGCTATTTCAGGATGTCTTCCCCTGTCAAAAACAAACACCTGATTTTATCGCAGCCAGATGTACGGGCCAAATTGTTTCAGCCACAAATGCACATGTGTTTTGACCTAAACCTTCCCACTGGGGCTCTTCTATATTTTTTATCTGTGTGTGTGTCCTTCATTGTGTGAAATTCCCATTGCTGGGGTATTGTCAGCCTAGACAGTTGGTAAATATGGTTGCTGGCGGTTCTGGATCCCAGGTAGCCTTGCATCCGAGGCTGGCGGATTGCGAAAAAAAGATATTGGGACAGACACCTTGGTATAATTTTGTCGTTTAAGCCATGTTAATAGAAACCTCAACAAAGATATTTAAAAGAAAAAAAAGTATGACAAGGTTTGATGTGCATTGTGTTAGTTGACTTATCTATCTTTTTGGGGTTGACTGTAATGGTTCCTCAAAACCCAACTTGAACCATACCCAACTAAAAAAAGTTGGATCTAGAAGAATGTATCAGGCCAAGTGGGCTCCATTTGGTGGTGTAATAGATACATGATCCCATTGCAGTACGGTAAATCATCCTGTAAATCGTCAAGTTTCTAGGGAGTCTGCAACCATGAAGCTACCTTTTTGTCCGACAACAATAAAGCACCCAAATATACTGGTTCATTGTTGTGTAGTCCCCTTAGAATGATCTGAAATTCACATAGAACCTGGAAAACAGGGCCACACGTGGATGATTTTACTACTGGATACAGCCCTGATTGGGTTCTTACATTTCGTGTAGTGTTTGCCATGTGGGTGTATACTACCCTGCTCAAAATGTGCCTTTTTGCAGAGTCTCCAAGATTAGCTACTTATTTAAATGTAGCTCAATTCACTAGTTGGTTATATCCCCAGTGTCATAATTTTATATCCTACCCGTAGTTTGCTCGATGAAAATGAAAGCTTGAGCCCATGCGACTTGAAGATCGCAGTTTTTCGTTAAGTTGGTTAGACATTTACCCTCTGGTGATTTATCATAGCCATGGAAAATCACCATATTTTTGATAGTTAAAAGTAAATATAATATGATATAATCTATTTCATAGCCATGGAAAATCACCATATCTATATATGTTTGATAGGTACAAGTAAATATCATCTATTTCTATGGGTCATTGCTTCCATAGCAAGTTGTGTCTTTTCGAAAATCTCCGGAGCGGCAGGGCATTTGCGCCTGCGGCTCCAGTAATGTGGGTGTGGGCACCTGGCTCGCTGGCGCCATGCGCAAATGGACAGATTGTTGATGAGTTCATTGAGTATAACTTATTTTAGTGTCTTTTTTTAGATAAGCTTTAGAATTATGATAGATATTAGATCTAATATTAGATCTAATATTACTTTGAATCAGGATTGTATAGATATTATATAGAGATATTAAGTGATACATCGACTTTAAAGATAGTCGTGATACATCGCTATAGATACCCCTTTTGACGTTCAGGTCTCCAGCATGGCAGGATCCACCATCCACCACAGGTTCAGTTGCCTTATTTCAGTGGCGAAAAAACTATGGTGTCTGGTAGATATATCTGGATAAATTATAACGACCTCCCTGCGACCTCACTGGAAATCATGGTTAATACTGATTGATGGTTACGGTGTTTATGTTCCATTTCACATATGGGATGATCCTTCCCAACTGACGAACTCATATTTTTCAGAGGGGTAGGTTGAAAGGGGTAGGTATACCACCAACCAGAAAACTATGGTGTCTGGTAGATATATAACGAAATCTGTATTCATGGGGGCTGTAAATATTTATAATTTATGTACCAACTTATAACTGGGGGGCACCGTCCACCAGGTATGATCCAAATGATAATGGGTTTATACGGGTCTATACCACCCATGAATCTACCTTATACTAAAGCTTCATTATAAAATATTATGGGTGGTATAACCACAATCAACCAGATGTAAGTGGTTCATGATTGCCTTACTAACTTGAAACCAAGCTGTTAGTCATGAGAGTATGACCTGCCTCCTGTGGATGTCGGTTGAGAGACAGAGTGACCTTACCATAATCTTTCACTCCAAACCAGCCATAGTTCTGGGTCTGTGTCAAATTCTTAAGATATGTTAAGATATGTTCTTGGGGACCTAAGGATGTCACTTCTTGCTGCCATCTTGAATCTCTAACCAGAAGCCTACCAGACCCTTCTCCTGGGATTCCATTAAAAAAAGAATGTCAACCGCTGCATATATCGGCTTCCGAAACAGAAATCGAAACAGCCAGGGCGCCATGTTTTAAAATTGAAGACAAGCTCTTTTGGTGGAGGTTTCCAATCTCGTTGTCATCCAAAAAAATATCAAAGCAGAGACACCCGCCTTGCTGCTGAATATCTCCCCTGTTCGTTGATTCACATCCAAAATCCGCTGGTTGGCAATATCCATATTTCCATACTTGTGCTTCGATCAATTTTCCATGATGTGTTGGCTGGTTGGTGGTTTGGAACATGTGTTTTTCTATATATTGGGAATAATAATCCCAACTGACTAATGTTTTTCAGAAGGGTTGAAACCACCAACCAGATGATGTTGGTGAAACAGCCCATAGTTGATCATAGCTGTTGGATTTACTGTATCCCCTGGAATTTGCTGCGAATTTCCCGATCCTTCCTAGGCATGTTCCCCTTCTTTTTGGGTAAACCCTTTTACCCTGTAAAACCCAATTTATAGTGGAAGTTATATACTGCATCCTGTGCAACATAGTACATATAAATTACGTTCATTTACTTTGCTTTCGAAACTAGATGCCCACCCTGTTCATGCTCACGCTTCAATGTTTGATCAACCGGGGCTAACATGCATCCGGAGTTGGTATTACACATAATAATTTAAATGTATACACATGTGTACATATATAATATTATTTATGTACATATATACATACCTAATATACCAAAATGGGTATAGTCTGATTAAGAGCTCTTTGCAGTGCTTGAGAACTTGTCATCGAATTCATAGAAGTTGTCCACGTTTGCAAGAAGTTGTGCACGTTTCACAGAAGTTGTGCACGTTTCACACGCCCCCCTAATAACGTTCGTGTTCAGCTGCTGTGAAATGGACTGCTCTCATTGGGGGCTCTTAACCAGACTATCCCCACCAATATGTGTATTATATATATATATATGTAGTAGAATATCATAGTACCTATGGTATACAATTATATACATATTTTATATTTATATATGTGTATCCATATTATACACATGTATCAATATTATACACATGTATCATATATACAGTAATATTATTAGATGGATGGATGGATGGATGGATAGATAGATAGATATAGATAGATATCATCCATGTCCACAACCATATGACCCAGCGTTGAGGTCGCCACATGTGTTTCGACTGCGGCAGAGAGAGACAGCCGCCAGCGCGACAGGAGCCCTGGCAGTCTCAACGGTGGGACCAATGGGAGATACGAAAAAGGTGGAAAAAAACAGCAAAAAACGGTGGTTTCATATGGTTTAATGATGTTTAATGGGGATATACTTGGATATTTAATTGGAATCTAGTTGGTGAAGTAACAAATGTACAAAACCCCTGCTGCTGTGTGATTCTGGTCATTTCATTGGAATTTTAGCCATGAAAATATCGGGATAGTGGATGTAACTGATACATGATGATTGATTGCTGGTTAGTGTGGGATTACACTAACCGTCACATATATATATATATATACCCTCTGGTTATTTAACATAGCCATGGAAAATCACCATGTTTAATAGGTAAACCATCTATACATGGGCCATTTTCCATGGCTATGTTAGTCATAACCAGAGGGTATATATTGAAGATTACACTAAATCCATGAATGGGGAATGCCGTTCTCAGCAATCAGTTTTGATAAAATTCACGACACAGGGTGCATGGAGCACTGCTCATAACTGTCTCTATTGATTAAAGTCCCAATGAAATATCAGGTGGAGAATATTCCCAGTATATTTCCAGCCACGGATTGCACATATCTGACTTTGAGAAAGTAAGACAAGGGAATATAATCGCAACATGGTGGGAAGGTAATGGGACTTGTACAACCACATGTATGACTTGAGTGTGCCTGAAAATTGCTATAGGCATAAAATCAAAAGGTAGATAGAAAAATGATGATAAAGCAGTGGATTTTTTGGAGTTCCATATGTTCAGACAAACTCATATCGACATAAATAATCTGCAATGGATTGTGAACAGATATGAGTTTGTTCTGAACATTTAGCAAGATATGTTAACATATTGTGAACAGACCACTTGCATCCACTTGCTAACTATTTCCTTTCTCGCTTGTGAACAAACCATGCATGAAGATTTTTGTACCCCGGGATGCAGATTTTCGAGCGATGATTCCACCGGCAGATAGTGCCCTCGGCAATTTGGGATTCAGCCAGCAAGAAAATGGTGGTTTCGCCGGCAAAATTGAGAGTTCACCCCGAACAAAATGAAAAAACAGAGGTTTCACCAGCATATTAGCCATGAAAATATCGGGATAGTGGATATAAATGATGATTCACCAGCATATGCTATGTCTACAAGACAGGGACCCAAAAGCACCACTTCTGTAAAAACCCTGTCGACTTGGACAAAGTGTCGGTGCTCCGAGTTGGTAAACAGAAACGGCTTCAGCAACTCACTAGATGATAGGCCAACCAAACCAGGAGGCAATCAGAAACCTCAGATCCTTTACCACTCAATTGGAGGTTTATGAATGTTTATGATTGCACCACATTTTACCAGATCACTAGATGTTGTGAGATGTAGTGATCGCTAGTTACCCAGTCCCAGTTTGGTGATTTGACTCCACCTGGACATGGATGTGTCAAAGGGCACGATGTCTGCTTCGAAATGCTCAAGAATTAGTAGGGATATAATTTGATATAATCCAAAAATTGATTAAAATGGTTGGTTTCCAGATTAAAGAGAAATACTCTCAAAAATGGTAGATTTGGACATCGGAGAGTAACAACTTTGTTGAGATCGCCAGGAATCTCAACTGGAAAGCCGACAAGGAGCTCATTTAGAGATCGGGGGAACGACTCAGTCGAAGGGTAGCAGGGTGGACCTTGAATCGTAAAACCATCTGTTTTCCACCATGGGAAAAGTTCATAATTGTGAACTTATTTGTATAGAATACAGTAATATTATAACGGGATATATTATATATATATAACCAACATATAGGAGTTGGGTTTGTCCAAAAATAGGGTGGCTAACCACCAGAAATATGGAGATATAACTGATACCAGTAGTACCCGCACGAGGCAGAGCGGAAGTTGCCTTAGGGATATATAATATATATATAAGACCTTTCTCATCTATAGAACTTGCATGCGCCGTGCGCCAGCCAGGCCCGTGCGCGCGTGCTTTCTGCGAAAGCGGTGTCCTGTTTCACATGTCACAATTGAAGCTCCACTTCGCACTTCACGCTTCACACTCCGCACTTCACACTCCACACTCCACACTCCACACTTCACACTTCACACTGCACGCTTCCCACTGCACACTCCACACTTCACACTTCACACTCCACACTTCACACTTCACAGTCCACACTTCACACTTCACACTCCACACTTCACACTTCACACTTCACACTTCACACTCCACACTTCACACTTCACAGTCCACACTTCACACTTCACACTCCACACTTCACACTGCACTCTTCACGCCCCACACTTCACACTCCACACTTCAAACTCCACACTTCATCTCATCTGAGCTCTTCTCACCTTATCCCAGCTCATCTCTTCTCATCTCATCTCTTCTCATATGTCATCTAAGCTTTCATGAATCACTTCCCAGTACTACTACTAAGGAACTTGCATGCGCCGTGCGCCAGCCAGGCCCGTGCGTGTGTGCTTTGCGCGAAGCTGTTGCAGTGTTGCTGTCCAAGAAAATGACCTGGGCGCGACCCCGGTACAATGCAAACACTTTCCTCACAGTTCACATTGCACTCTTCACACCCCACACTCCACACTTCACACTTGCACTTCATCTCAACTCATCTCATCTGAGCTCTTCTCATCTCATTCCATGTCTTCCCATTTGTCAGCTAAGTTCTTCTTGGCTATTTTCATGTCAAGTACTTCCCAGTACTGATGTCTACTACAAAAGCTTGCAAAAACCACTTCCCAGTACTACTTTGTACTACAAAACTTGCACAAAACACGTTCCAGTACTACTTTGTACTACAAAGCTTGCACAAAACACTTCCCAGTACTACTTTGTACTACAAAGCTTGCACAAAGCACTTCCCAGTACTACTGTGTACTACAAAGCTTGCACAAACTACTTCCCAGTACCACTTTGTACTACAAAGCTTGCACAAAACACGTTCCAGTACTACTTTGTACTACAAAGCTTGCACAAAGCACTTCCCAGTACTATGTTTACTACAAAGCTTGCACAAAACACTTCCCAGTACTACTTTGTACTGCAAAGCTTGCACAAAGCACTTCCCGGTACTACTGTGCACTACAAAGGTTGCACAAACTACTTCCCAGTACTACTTTGTACTACAAAGCTTGCACAAAACACGTTCCAGTACTACTTTGTACTACAAAGCTTGCACAAAGCACTTCCCAGTACTACTGTGTACTACAAAGCTTGCACAAACTACTTCCCAGTACTACTTTGTACTGCAAAGCTTGCACAAAGCACTTCCCAGTACTACTTTGTACTGCAAAGCTTGCACAAACTACTTCCCAGTACTACTTTGTACTACAAAGCTTGCACAAAACACGTTCCAGTACTACCTTGTACTACAAAGCTTGCACAAAACACACTTCCCAGTACGACTTTGTACTACAAAGCTTGCACAAAGCACTTCCCAGTACTACTGTGCACTACAAAGCTTGCACAAACTACTTCCCAGTACTACTTTGTACTACAAAGCTTGCACAAAACACGTTCCAGTATTACTTTGTACTACAAAGCTTGCACAAAACACTTCCCAGTACTACTTTGTACTGCAAAGCTTGCACAAAGCACTTCCCAGTACTACTTTGTACCACAAAGCTTGCACAAAGCACTTCCCAGTACTATGTTTACTACAAAGCTTGCACAAAACACGTTCCAGTACTACTTTGTACTACAAAGCTTGCACAAAGCACTTCCCAGTACTACTGTGTACTACAAAGGTTGCACAAACTACTTCCCAGTACTACTTTGTACTACAAAGCTTGCACAAAACAGGTTCTAGTACTACTTTGTACTACAAAGCCTGCACAAAGCACTTCCCAGTACTACTGTGTACTACAAAGCTTGCACAAACAACTTCCCAGTACTACTGTGTACTACAAAGCTTGCACAGAACACGTTCCAGTACTACTTTGTGCTACGAAGGTTGCACAAAACACTTCCCAGCACTACTTTGTACTGCAAAGCTTGCACAAAGCACTTCCCAGTACTACTTTGTACTACAAAGCTTGCACAAAGCACTTCCCAGTACTACTGTGACCAAGCAACCTTAACGCAGCCATTACAATGCGATCTGCAGAGAGCGAATTGCAAAACACAATAGAACTACGCGCAACGGCGTCGGAAATTGCAGCTCCAACCGGATCTCGACGCCAAAGCGACAAAAAGACGATTTTGAAGCATTTTTTTGAAAGGAATTTAAAAAGGAAAATCACTAGCGCCAAAATTGACAAAACTTGCTGACAGAGGACAAATCACTATCGCAGCCTGGATGCAGCCACTCCAATACGATTTACGACTGCAAAAGACAATAGTATTACGCATGCAGCCGCGGCACCGAGAAACCTTGACGCAGCCACTACAATGCGATCTGCTGAAACTGAATTGCAAAACACAATAGAACTACGCGCAACGGCGTCGGAAATTGCAGCTCCAAAACCGGATCTCGACGCCAAAGCGACAAAAAGACGATTTTGAAGCACTTTTTAAAAGCGCCAAAATTGCGAAAATCTGCTGACAAATCACTATCGCAGCCTGGATGCAGCCACTCCAATACGATTGACGATCTTCAGCTGCAAAAGACAATAGTATTACGCATGCAGCCGCTGCACCAAGCAACCTTGAGGCAGCCACTACAATGCGATCTGCAGAGACTGAGTTGCAAAACACAATAGAACTACGCGCAACAGTGTCGGAAATTGCGCCTCCAAAACCGGATCTCGACGCCAGGAAAAAAAACAATTTTGAAGCACTTTTTAAAAGGATTTTTAAAAAGAAAATTACTTCCGTGAAAATTGCCGACTTCCTCCCCACAACACGCAGCATGCAACATTCATGCACCCATTCCAATGCGATCTGCAACCACAGCTTCAAGAAACGCATAGAACGACGCACACAGGAACAACCATTGTTGCAAAACACATAGAAGGAACCAAACGACCGCAGCCGCAACCGCCGCACACACGAGGTACCTTTCACCGCCGGCTGCAGCCACTTTACACGGAAAAACACAAGGTTTCGTGCTCCGGCTTCCTCCCCACAACACACAGCATGCAACATTCATGCAGCCATTCCAATGCGATCTGCAACCACAGCTTCAAGAAACGCATAGAACTACGCACACAGGAACAACAATTGCTGCAAAACACATAGAAGGAACCAAACGACCGCAGCCGCAAGCCCATGCAACATTCATGCAGCCATTCCAATGCGATCTGCAACCACAGCTTCAAAAAACGCATAGAACTACGCACACAGGAACAACCAGTGTTGCAAAACACATAGAAGGAACCAAACGACCGCAGCCGCAACCGCCGCACACACGAGGTACCTTGCCGGCTGCAGCCACTTTACACGGAAAAACACAAGGTTTCGTGCTCCGGCTTCCTCCCCACAACACACAGCATGCAACATTCATGCAGCCATTCCAATGCGATCTGCAACCACAGCTTCAAGAAACGCATAGAACTACGCACACAGGAACAACCATTGTTGCAAAACACATAGAAGGAACCAAACGACCGCAGCCGCAACCGCCGCACACACGAGGTACCTTTCATCGCCGGCTGCAGCCACTTTACACGGAAAAACACAAGGTTTCGTGCTCCGGCTTCCTCCCCACAACATAGCCCATGCAACATTCATGCACCCATTCCAATGCGATCTGCAACCACAGCTTCAAGAAACGCATAGAACTACACACACAGGAACAACCATTCGTTGCAAAACACAGAGGAAGGAACCAAACGACCGCAGCCGCAACCGCCGCACAGACGAGGTACCTTTCATCGCCGGCTGCAGCCACTTTACACGGAAAAACACAAGGTTTCGTGCTCCGGCTTCCTCCCCACAACACACAGCATGCAACATTCATGCAGCCATTCCAATGCGATCTGCAACCACAGCTTCAAGAAACGCATAGAACTACGCACAGAGGAACAACCATTGTTGCAAAACACAGAAGGAACCAAACGACCGCAGCCGCAACCGCCGCACACACGAGGTACCTTTCATCGCCGGCTGCAACCACTTTACACGGAAAAACATAAGGTTTCGTGCTCCGGCTTCCTCCCCAAAACAAACCCCATGCAACATTCATGCAGATCCCAGCGCAACCACTTCCCTTCCTCACCACTTCCCTTCCTCACCACGTCCCATCGTCACTACTTCTCATCATAGTCAATTCCATTGCTTCTTCTTCTTCTTTTGTGATGTATTGTTAGATCGCGCACTATTGCTAGATCACACACCACCCTTCATCATAGTCAATTCCATTGCTTCTGAGTCTTTTGTGATGTATTGTTATATCACCCACCACCCTTCATCATAGTCAATTCCATCGCGTCTTATTCTTTTGTTATGTATTGTTAGATCACACACCACCCTTCATCATAGTCAAGTCCATCGCTTCTTATTCTTTTGTAATGTATTGTTAGATCACGCACCACCCTTCATCATAGTCAATTCCATCGCTTCTTATTCTTTTGTTATGTATTGTGAGATCACGCACCACCCTTCATCATAGTCAATTCCATCAAGTATAGATCGCGCACCACCCTTCATCATAGTAAAAGTCATTCGTAACTCGGAAGTAGTGCTTCCCAACTTCCTTTGATTACCAAGCATTTTGCGTGGAGGAAAAAAGGAAATCCCATATTGATATAGGACCAACATATAAGAGAATTGCGAACCCCCAAAAATCGGGGATACTCCAAAAACGCTATTTTTTCGCAGAGAAACTGATGATAAACCGCCGGATCTGGGGTCTCGAATGTTCCATGTTTCAGTCTAAGGGATCCCCCCACAGCTGGAAAGAATCAGTGAGTTGAACGCATTGGTTCTTTGACATCTTGGAGTTCTTTGCTCGCCACAGAACCTCACTGCGGCCTACCATGCGGCCAGTAAATGCATGCGGCCTACCATGCAGCCTGTAAATGCACGCGGTCGACCGTGCGAAAGACTCAGTGCACGGGGTGCCGAAAGGCACTTAACGGGTTTGTTCCGTGTCCCGCAGGGGCAGGATGATAGTATTTAGCATCAGACAGACGAGCTGCGTGCTGGGAAGAAATGGAGCTGCTTCCCATATCCGCCAAGCACTTTTTGGAAGATGCTAACTAGAAAAAAAAACTGAGCTGCTAAAACTCTCTTCATTTCTTTCATGTGGTCGCTGTTCGAAGATTAATCTCTGCTATCCATGTCCTCGCCGTATATATAGATGGAAAACCAATTTAAAATCATGAGCTGATCTACGGTAGTAGATATTGGTCACAATTTCGAATATAAGTTCCCATAAAATCCCGTAATGATGTTGACTGTTCCAAAACCACCCACATCCATGCTGTACAAGTCCGCCATGTAAGGGCAATGTCGATCCATTCTGGGCAGCAGTTGAGAAATGGGATGATGACAACTACCGATCCCAGCATGCTGGGTGATTCTCAAAAGTTAAACGGGGATGGATCAAAACCTACTTGGATGGGATAAACATCCATTCACCAGGATGGGTTTTGACCCAATATCAAATGGACAAGAGTGCCCACTCGTGACCTGGTTTGTGTTCAGACCTCATTGGTCTCAAAAATGTGTCCTACATTCAGATGCTGTGACCTCCGATAGCGGACAGTATGACTATCTATAGATCAAATGCAACACAGATAAGTTGACTCCAAAAGTCCATAGATCATATAGAATCATATAGATCCATCAGATAGTTTCCCAATCACCAAAAGTGTTGGTTTGTTTCTGCAGTTCCAAATTGGATCAGTGATTCCATGATCTTTCGCAAGGAGATGACCACAACACAAAGGCAGCACATTCTGGGTGGTGGTGCTACGGGATGCTGAGCTCATGGCACCAATATGGCGGATGTACTGGGATAGAATAGTATGTACTGATATAGAATCCCCATTCATATGCTGATTGGTGGTGACTTTGATAGAGGATGATAGAGGTACCGGTTGGTGACTGGAACCATGGAATTTTTGATGACTTTCCAGAAACAGTTGGGAATGTCATCATCCCAACTGACGAAGTCCATCATTTTTCAGAGGGGTAGGTATACCACCAACCAGATATTAAACACCCCCCAAAAACCATGGTTTAGTCGGAGGATTTACACATAATTGGGACCATTTAGGAGGTGTTTAATATGAACGGAGGGTGAGATTAGTTGGTATTTGGCTCCCATCAAGCCCATTAACCCCATTAACAAGATGGAACTGTTGTGAAATTGACAATGAACGGTTTAGATTGGGCTGATTGAATCATCAAAAGTGAGAAGTGATGCTTGATTGATAATGAATTGGCTCCAAGGTGTCATAGAAAGTCATTGGTGATATATGATATTATTTGACGAGCAAAGTGTCTACGGCTAGCCATTTGCCGTGCACAAGTCATTGGTGTCTTATGACTCTTTTTGCCGTGGTAACCCTGACCACGTCTTGGTTGATGCTTCGATGTTGTTCCTTGGCAGTGAACGCACCAGTCAACGTGGTTTGGTGTACGTCATCATTTAATGAATCTGAAAGACACCAATAATAAGTTGTCATCATCCTCGAATAAATAATACATATATATATATGTGTAATTAGTAAATTTGTCAGCATCCGAGAGTAGCTTTACAAAAAAAAAAAAAAAACACTATACTTCTTTGCCAGTGAGTACAACAAACAACTGGCAACCCTATATGCCTCTCTGCCTTCAAGCTGAAAGGGTGGGAGTTTCGGAACGCCCATCCGTCTTGTTGGCTGATATCCCCATTTTTAGCGCGCCCCCCCGAAAAAAACATAAATTCTGCAGAAGTGTTAAATCCAACTCCAAAACCAAGTGATTTAATATAGCATAGTGATAAATTATGGGATAAGTGATCCTATCAGTGTTAAATTCAACTCCAAAACTCTACCAATCATCACTAAGTCACTAAGTGATATTTAGCCTCGGGGCTTCACGGAGGTGAACCCAGCGAACCAAGCGAACCAAGCGAGCCAAGGGCGGAGGCGGACCCTGGACGAGTCTAGGGTTTGGTATATGAAACGACAAGAAAATGGGGAGAAAAACCACCAACAGTAGAGTAAAATAAAGTAGATATGATAGATATGTGAGATGTACATCCACTAGGGATTGGCTGAAGGGAAATTTGACACGAAAACCCAATATTTTGCTGTGAAGACTATGGTCAAAACAACCCAATGAATGTCTCAATGTGTGATAGTTTTTGGGCAACACTCGGATTTCCCTCGTTAGAGGTCCCAGTCTGCCAGTCATTTCACAAGATTGGCCACGATACACCACGATACACCACGCAGGTTCTGCATCCATTGCGGCGCCCCTCAAGTTGCAGCAGCAAAGTTCTGCTCGGAGTGTGGTGAGCGATGCACCCTGGCAGCGAGAGCACTGGGTTTCCCAAGGAATTTTTGGGAAAATTCACCCCTGAAAAACCCCCGAAAAACGAACAGAATCTAACAGTCTAACAGCAAAAATTGGATCCGTTGACTCCCAAAAAATGGGATTCCGCTGTGGAAAAAAAGGGAGACAGCACGCTGTTTTCGGTGCGGTGTTTTTTGACTTTGGGGTATCGGGGAGAACAAGATTCCACGAAGAAAATTCACAGACGAGACTCATGGAGGTGAGTTTGGTAAAGACGAGATTGATAGAGGATGATAGAGGTACTGGTTGGTGGTTTGGAACCATGGAATTTTATGACTTTCCATTCAGTTGGGAATGTCATCATCCCAACTGACTTTCATATTTTTCAGAGGGTTGAAACCACCAACCAGGGTATGTTTGGTAGAGATGCGATTAACAGAGATTTGTTTGATGCAGGCAAGTTTGATAAGGATCGGTTTGGTAGAGATAAGTTTGATGGAGCTAAATTTGATAGAGATTATAGATAAGTTTTATATAGAGATTAGTTTCATGGAGGCAAGCTTCATAGAGGTTAGTTAGATGGGGATGGATTGGCAGAGGTCTGTTTCATGGAGACGAGATACTGTACAATCTGTACGCCGAGGTACCGTAAGTTTTCCCCATTGTTTATAGGAAATCCCTATATTTCATGGGGAAAACAATGGTTTCCGGTTAAGATGTTCCCTTCAACCAATCAAGTGGTGAATTTGTTTGGACATATTAATTGTTGACGCCAGATGGAAGGAGAAAGGAGGTGAGGGGATGGGGATGGCTACAAAGCCGGAAGCCCGCACAAAGATGACTGGACCAAAAATTGGGTCGATGCTGGTGTTCTTTTAGTATCCAGATCATCTACAAGGGCTGTTTCGCAGCCAGGAAAACACATTATCCAGCTGTCCTGCGTGCGGTCATTGTGTCCATTGCCATGTTGATCTTGAGGAGTTTCCCTGGGGAAGGCCAAACATCATGTACCGCTCGTAGCCTCCCAAAGCAGCACGACCCTTGGTTCATCCTTGCTTAGCTGGCTTAGCTCTATTTGTGTAACACGGTGAATACTCTCCAGCAAACTAACATAGATATGGAGAACGACCATGTTTGATGCTGGATGTTCATGGATTTTCCATATCTATGTCAGTTTACTGGAATGTTTATTTGTATAGTGAAACTGGGATGTATTTTAACAGATGTCATATCCTGCGCGGAGGATCTTCCGGTTTCTTCAGATCGGCTTTAAAAAAAAACACGTGATGAGTGTTTTTCCGGGTGGGTCAGAGATCTGGTTCCTTATGAGATTTGGTTCAGGATCCAACCCAACATTCTGCCATTCTGCAGGCTGCAAAAAATCCGAGTTCCATATCCCCCCATGGGTTATATGATTCCCCGGTTGTTAGTTGAAACAATGCAATTGATGTTGTTTCTCCGTAAGAATCAAAGATATAGGATTGTTGGACATAATGAAATTACCCTCACAGCGAATTCGTTCCTTTACATCTACAGGCAATCGTGACAATCTTTATCAATGTTTGTAGAATGTCTCCCAATGTGTTGGAACTTAAACTCTTCAATTCAAGATTATCGTACAAGTTCACTATGTTTGGATTTGTTAATCCCATTTCTTACCATTTCGAAGCATGGATGAAACTGATGGTACCATCCCAGTTCAGCTGTTCCTCTGTTCCCAGGTATCAATCCAGGCGCCATATCGCAGCCGGAAGGCGCGTCTCCGTGTTCAAAACCTGTGTTGCTTAATGGGTGTTTGACGGGGATCAGTTTGACCGGTGTTGATTTGGTGGAAGATTTTTTTTACTTATTGATTGATGAGTCATTCATATCGCGGATTTCGCCAGAGATTGGTTTTAATGGTTGATATGGTTGATTGATGATTGTAGGCGACTGTCCAATATCTTCTGGATTGTCATCATGCATGAACTGGGAATCCCTCTTCACCAACCAGTACATAGTACTAGTAGTAGAATGAAATGCTAGAGAGGTTGAAACATGTTTGAACGCTGTTCAAGTCTGGAGCATGACTGAGCAATTGGGGTAAGCAGAATAGAATATACGCCATACCATGTCGCCGCTAGTTTTACCATTTGGGTTTCTGTCTAAGCCTGAAACTGAAAATGGAATTTCCCCTTGGGTTTGCAATTTGGAACATTGGACACCTACTGAAATAATTCAACAGTGCCTTTCATCACGAAATGTCATTTTCTTGCTGCACATTGCCCCTCACTATTCAAAAGCTGGAACTCATAGATTTGGTCGGTTGCCACAACAATTCCATGAATTCGTGCTGTTTGGATTTGTTTGAAAATAGATGGGATACCCATTTTAAAAAAAAAAAACGCTTTTTTTTCAATAGGGAAAACGATGGTAATCCGGTAATCCGGTAATCCATTCGAATCGCGGGCAGCCCTATTTTCAGAGAAACCCATTTGGAGCCGCTCAAATTCTTGGAAAATCCATGGTGTTTTCACTTTGACCTGACGGAAATTTCTGGGTGAACCGGTAGGTGCTTTCCACACACATGACACATCCGAAAACCAAAAACCAGGTGCTTTCCAACGGCGTGGTGGCTGCTCCTTGCCATGATGACATGGTCATGTATGGTCATGTATGGTCATGTATGGTCATGTATGGTCATGTGGATTTGGTACCACGGGGTTCAAAATCATGTTGCCCACTAAAACGGCCATGGCCCATCAATTTGATATGTTTGTATATATATATATATGTATATAATTATATATATATGTATAAGTATAAGTATATCTATACTGTATGTATGTATGTGTATATATATATATATGTGTGTGTGTGTAGAGAGAATCCAGGTTTGAGAGCGCCCAATTCCGAGCCATTGCCCTTTGTGTTTTCCACGGGTTGGTTTTAGACTCGCCCTGTGGAATGAATCATCCCCAAAGACCTGGCTCCTGGCGGAGTTTGGGGATCCGAAGTTCACGGACATTGTGAATTTCTATGTGTAAATCACCATTTTTAATAGGTAAACCATCTACAAATCTATGTGAATTTCCATGTCAAATTCTTGATACTTGAAGCCCATAGATCCCAATTTGTTGGTCGTTCCATATGCGACTGCTTCAATTTTTTGTTGCCCCAAAGTTTGGATGTTCGCAGAATGTTGAATGCTGGAAACGAGAAGAATTTGATGCATCCCTAAATATTTGTTGCTTGTGCCATGGCCGCATGCATACTGCAGGAATCCTCATTTCCCGCTTATATTCCAATTCTTGGAACGTGAGATATCCTCTGGTAATTTAACATAGCTATTGAAAATCACCATTTATAGTGGATTTTCCCATTGAAAAATGGTGGATCTTTCCATAGTTATGTAAACGTTTACCAGAGGGTATTTCTTGTGTTGTTGATACATTCACCAACGGAAAATTGCTTTATGTCCTATTGTCGTGGGTTGAATTGCAACTTTTGCATGTAAGAGATTAATCTTGCTGTTTCAACAGGTTCCCATGTTTGTGGGCGTGTATATACATATATATAATAATTATTATTATTAGTAGTAGTAGTAGTATTATTATTTTTTATTTTTATGTTTATTTTTATTTATTATTATTTTGTCAAGTGAAACTACTTGGTTTTGATCTCCCCTGACATGTCAGTGGTCAACGGCCACAGCTACTGCTGAGATTTTGAGAAAGCGCCGGAGCCGCAACATGGGGCAGGCGCAGCTATGGATACGCCTGCAACCAACATCTGGGGATGGGTCAAAATAGGAATAGAATGGGAATATGCTGCTCACAATATGCTTGTAATGTGGGTAAAACAATAATAAACAATCCCCCAAATCACCATAAAGTTGCATAAACCATTCCCAAACGGGTGGCTTATTATTGTTTTACGAAATGTTGGAATCTTCTGGAAATATGTGGGAATATACTAGAAATATTCCAAATATCATGGGAAGATTGCGAATATGATGGACAGATTGGGAATGTCATGGAGTTCTATGTGAATAGACTGGGAATTAAAAAAACGCCTCGGAACTAGAGACGTTAGTCACGTTAGTCGTTTTATCAGTATGAAATGTTTCACCTGCAGGCATGCACCAGTTTTCCTTGCTGGTTTCTCCTCTCAGATTGGTGGATTTTCAAGGACGTACAAGGTGTTTCCACCATCCCAGATGGGATGATGAAAAAACTCCACCAGAAACTCAGGCCATGCCATGTTTGTGGGAGAAAGCACTGGAGATCCTTCTGCTTTCATATCCCCATGTTTGGCGTTTGAAATCGTCTCATAGGTTTCCGAAAATGGTGGTACCCCAAATCATTCAAACTTAGCTGAAACCCATAGTTTTGGGATCCCTTATTTTTGGAAGCCTCCATATGGGTAAAAAATGGTAAAAATATGTGATGCAAATTCGGAACATCGACTCTTGGTCTTTAGCGTTGAACCATCTCACGTTTGAATCATCAAGTTTGTTTGACCCATAGTCATATTGGTTAAATTATAAATTATCAATAATTATCACGACCTCACTGCGACCTCACTGCGACCTCACTGCGACCTCACTGGAATCATGGTTAGCAAGGGAAGTCATCCCCAAATGGCCTTAATTAAGATTAGTGAACTATTATAACTTACCCAGAATTATTGTATGACTTGTCCAGTAATGCGGGATACTCAGTCGAGAATTAAGACGAAGTCAGGTGTCTCAAAGCCTGAGGATGAGGCGGTTCTGGGCACCATCGACTATGTCATTTGATGCAGGATGTTGTGCCATGTGATATGATATGATATGATATGATGTGATTTACTATAGTAAGTAAGAACTGAAAACAAAGAAGTAGATACTCGCAAGTATGGATGTCTTTTGTCATATGCATACAGAGTCTATGTGTGGCCGTACAAACAATGTGTTGGGGGAGTTCATGTGCTATCCATCCGCCAGTATGCAGACATCCTTGGCGAGTCACGAGTCAACATTTCCGACAAGTTGCCAGTAAAGAGCCCTTGCCAGTCGAGTGCCAATATTATGACTGAAGTTGGCCGATCCATTGAGAACCAGGAGATATTGGTACTCCTCCTTCAGAATCCCATCTTTTTTCACATGATGTTGCCACTTTTTCTGTGGTTCTTTCATGGTTTTTCTTCCTAGTTTGCGGTTTCATGAGAGTTTTTTGTTCAGTTTTTCCCTTTTTTTCCCCATGTGTCCCCCGAAATCCACGGGCTAACCATGGTCGCCGCGAAGCCCCCAGGTAGACAGCTTCCAAGATTACAAAGCGCAGCTGCGGAAGGAAGTGTTGAATGCCCCAGCCACCGAGCGCGGTGTAGGTGCCATGGGATGCCATGGGGCCCTTGTGATATCCACTAAATGGAGGCTTCCTAAGTCATGTGGGTACCCCCAGTTCTCATCCGTTTTAGTAGGATTTTCCATGATTTTCCACTATAAACCATCCATTTGGGGTACCTCCATCTATGGAAACCACGAAATAGCCATCAGTTAAATAGCCATGGAGAGATGGGTTGATGTTTTTCGGGGGTATGGCAAGCCCTACCTGGTTTTTCTAAATTCTTTTCGATGGTCATCCAGGCAGGTGTTGGACTTTATGGATCAACCCATGAGTCGTTTGCAGTGTCAAAGGACAGTGATGAGGCTTGGAATAGATATCCTGTTGATTATCAAACCAAGGGTGCATTCAATACATCAATTGCTAATGTTCATCGATTCACGCATTTGTAGACTATTATCAACCCTTATCAACCATCATATCCCCTTCCTATCCACGTGAAACATGTGGTTTCTGACCCTACAAGATGTTCCCACCCAGTTAAGTGCGTGTGGGTTTATAAACCCCATTTTACTAGGTAGTTCGATGAATATCTACCATAACTGGCTGGTGATTTCAAAGATTGTGTATTTTCCATTTCATATATGGGATAATTATTCCCATTGACGAACTCATTTTTTCAAGATGGTTATTGCACCACTAACCAGTTTATTATTAACCATCATTAACCATCATTAACCATCTATAAACCATATATTAACCATATATTAACCATCATAAAGAACCATGTTTTTAGCCAAGCCAAATACACCAAGCAGATCCAAGCAGCCAGGCGCCTACATCCGCAGCTTGGAAGGTGAGTTGTGGGGCCGCGTGGTCTGCGACCAGGGCAGGTCTTGGCAGCTCGCCTCTGGCAGATTGGCCAGGAAGGAGACGCCCTGGTCGCAACCAGGGTGCGGTTTTGGTTCTTCGAAACCAGGGAGTTTTGACATGCGGAAAAAGCATGTTTTGGTACGTAATAGTACGTAATAGTACGTAATAGTACGTAGTTTTACTGGACTTTGTTTTGGGGGATGATGTGAGTCCAAGTTGATTGTTTTGTTGGGGGAAATGAATCAAATTCATCAAAGTTCAAAATTAACAATCATGAACCAACATTAACCATCATTAACCATTCATCAAAGTTCAATATGTCGAATCAATTTCTAGATTTCAAACAGCGAAGCAGATACCAAAGATTTCACCAGTAATTCTCTCTGAGAATTCTCTGAGAAAACTCGATTTATGTAAATGAACCATACCTGCTTGGTGGTTTGGAACATTTTTTCCCATCTATTGGGAATTTCATCATCCCAACTGACAAACTCATATTTTTCAGAGGGGTAGGGCTCAACCACCAACCAGATACAATATTAACCATCATTAACCATATAATAGCCATTAATATTAACCATATATTAACCAGGTATATTAACCAACCAATAGTAGGTAGGTGGCTCAGCCACCAACCAGATATCGTTTCCCATCATGGTGATTTTACCGATGGAAATCACGGAGATTGAGAGCTGAGACGTGATCCAAGACGTGCGTGCCTGCTATGAGTAACTCGCAAGGCCATAAAAAGATAGGAAAGTCATTGGGATCTTACCCAAGATAGTGGTCGTAAATCATGGGAATTATATGGAATGATCACGTTTCTATCTTACTAAAGGGTGATTTATGTTATATGTTTTTTCCTCAGGAATGGTTTGTCTTACAGCTGGTGAAATCAGGCTTAAGCCATCTATTCTTCGACTCCATTCACGCAGGGGATACGACCACGGGACCACTAGGGGGGAATCTACATCCATAAATCCCAGCTGTTTTGATGTGACCAAGGTAGGAAGGCTTTTGAGCCAGAGCCAGAGCCAGAAATGACTGTTTTGAAGACTGTGTTCGATCATGTTCGATTAAAAACAAGCCGTAGACGTTGTAGAAAGACCCTAGAAGTTGCGCTCCCCATTCAAGCTTGGGCTCATGAGCCAAGAAGGTTGGCCACCTAGACAATTGCAGTAACTGAGGAACGAAGGGAAAGTCTGGGTGTTTGAGAACCCCAACGCCATCAGGGCGGCGTTGCACGAGGTTTTGCTGGTTATGGGAATGTAATGGGAATATCATCGGATATCGAACCAACATATATGATTTGGGGTTGTCTGAAATGGTGGTGGTCAACTGTTTAAGCCCCCAAAATTGACCCTTTAATACGGAAAATGATGAGTAACTAGTGGATGAAATTGGGTATCCATGGCTGTCCTATTTTTAGACCAACCCACATGGCTTTGAGACAAAAAAAGACATGTCCTTCTTTGAGGGTCACACTCCCAAGATGCCCAAGCTCAACCGCCGATACAAGATGTTCCAAGGTTCCAAGTGGGTGACATGTTTCAAAAAGTCTTGTACAGTATATGGATGTTTCCTAAAATGGGGGTACCCCCAGTTCTCATCCATTTTAAATCATTTTAGTAGGATCTTCCTTATAAACCATCCATTTGGGGGGTACCTTCATTTTAGGAAACCTCCGTATGTGTGAGTGGAAAAAATCCGAGGTCCGGAATATTTCACGACCCGGCAATGGTCTTTTGGATTTCAGGTTCATCCCAAAATTAGCCCAATTGGACTACTGAATGTTGGGTTCACCGAACCCAGTACATCCCAGATGGGTGCTTTGCAAGATGAAATCCGGATTACCATAGATTACATTATATGATATTATATATATATACACAATTATATATATATATCCATCCAACTGAATCTATCTATCTATATCTACAGATATCTATACATTATGTATATATCTATTATTCATTGCTATATGATATATGTCGCTTCACGGCGGTTTACCACAGCGCTATATGATGTTTGTCGCCTTGTCACAAGGCTCCCAAAGTGGTGCCAGAAGTGACCAGGCAAACACTCCGCCATGGCGGCGCGACTGTTGGTGGATGAAGCTAATTCAGCTATGTTTAAGGAGGAATATCATACATGTTTAATATATATATATATACATATTAATTATTGCATATTTATATATATATACACACATATTGGATATGTACATATATATATATATATCATACACATATGTTATATTATACTATACTATATTATGTTATATTAGTATATTAGATTAGATTATATTAGATTAGATCATTTTAGATTATGTTACATTATTTTATGTTATTTTATATTATACTATATTGTTTTATATTGTATTTTACTACATTGTGTGTATATTATACTGTACTTGATTACATTACATTACATTATACATTATATTATATGTATATATTTTATGTAACTAGTATGTGTATATATATATATTATGTGTATACGTGTATATAGAGAGAGATAGAGAGAACATTATATGCATATATCTTATATATATTGTGTATGTATCTTATATATATATACATATGTATGTTTGTATCTATATATATACCATATTATGTACATATACATATATATATATATGTATATACAAAGGTGGTGTGTATTCTATATTTGTTTGTTGAAGCAGTATGAAAGGTTTGCCACGGTTCTACTGGGAGAGTTCAGCACTTGGCCATTCACAGGTGATCACGAGCGCGTGGATCGATGAATTGGGGGGCCATTTAAAGCCATAGGGAAGTGAAACCATGTGCGGAGATCATGTGTTGATGTGTCAAAATGTGATCTCTGATGTGAACAAGCCATTCACATCATGAAACATCCCAATTTTAAAGCCATTTTAAGCAGTTCATGAGGTGCTTCATGTGTTCCATGTTCATCTCCAATTGTGATGATCCTATCAAAAGTTTGATCCCACTATAGAAATCTCATGAAATCCCCATGTGTTGATGGCCGCTGTTCCATCCTCCGAACGGTTCAAGGCGCCTCACAAGAAAGGAGCCGTCTCGGTAGCGCACAACACGTGCTGCCTTTGGCTTAATGGTGTTTTCTAAAATTGGAACTCCAAAATCATCCAAAATCCCATGATTTATCATCATTTATCCCTTTCCAAAGTCTTCGAAAAACTGCAGAAAGTGAATCCTACCAGCTTCAAGGCAATCATCAAAAAAGGGGGAAAACGTTCACGGCCAGGTTAGTGGACAAATCTACATTTCGCATCTCTCCCGCTCGCCGCTCTCCGGTTTATGCCATGCGGGTGACCAGCTATGCGTCCTGGACGCTATGGGCGCTGTACGCAAACCTCTTGGTGGTTCAAAGTGAGACCGTGCCTGTGAGCGTTTGGATGCGGGGATGGAGGCATTCTGTATCCACTGTTCTTCCGTGTGATTCATATGTGTTTTCAACCCCTAGATGGTAATTTGGGTTTTGCAAATGTTATAAATGTTTACAACCCGAAATGATCTTGGTAGAGATTTTTTTTTGGTGGGTGCGAATTGTTTCTAACCCCATAATTTACAACCCCAAATGGTAATTTTGGGTTGGGAATGGTTTATGGCGGTTTATGTATGCTTATGCTTTGAATTTACCCCAGATAGGTTTTTTTCGCATGGTTCGAGTCATTCGGGCACCGACTAAGTTAGCAATTTCAGTGGTTCCAATAATTTTGACCTACTGTGGATGGAAGAAATCCTGCACCAGTTGGTAACTATTGGCAACTATGAATCACTGTAGATAATGGGATTATAGTGGGATGTTTACCATTTCCCAACTGGTGCAGGAATTCGCAACCATCCACAGTATGTCCAGAGAGTAGGTCGATACCCATTATTAAAGGGATAAATTTAATACCAACAACAATGGGGATACTCAGGAACGGTGGGTATGTGGAGCATATTGGGATGACAGGGATGTGTCAACAGCGATCTTACAATAAAAGTGCAGGGTTTACATGGGATTTGGATGGAGGGGTTGGGTATGAAAAGGTTGAGACAGGGACCATGCAAAGTTGTGATATGCTCAGACATTCTACCATTTTACAGTTGGATCGTAGTTCTTCCAGCTGTTTGAAAGCTATCGTTCTACCTACCCTGATCATATGTTGTCCAGTGTAGTTTGCCAATATGTAGATATCCAGATAACTTACTTGCTATGCTGTGACATGGGTAGATGGATAGATGTGTACGTATTTACGTATGTACATCTGCACATGTACATTAGCATGATTTTGTACGCTGTGTATTCCAATTTGTAGTCTAAGTCTAAATGTATCCATATTAGCATGCTGAGACTGAAAGAGCCAGTAGAATTGGTGACTCTTCTGCAGACCCTTGATCTTCCGATTGAAAATACGGTATTTCAGATTCTCGATTCTCGATTCGCCTATGGGACCATTGGGTATGGTAATTTCTATCGTTTGACCCCATTTTTTGCCCATCCTGACTTAAGTCAGACTTCGGAACACCAGATGGTTGGTATAGTCGATCATCCGAAACATGGCTTGTTGCTGACTAGTCATGCTGTGTCTGATATAAAAAAGGGTAAACTCCATGAAAATCACTACTAAAAACGAGGGAATACGATGATGTTTTCCATGATGTTTTGCATCAAGATTTGGGGTACCCCATGTTAGCCAAGTGGACACGATCCTATTGAGATTCCACCGGGAGTGATGATTCTCTTCTTGGAGATGGTCAAATGCGATACCCTCTGGTAATTTAACGTAGCTATGGAAAATCACCATTTTTGATGGGAAAACTCACTATAAATGGCCATTTGCAATAGCTATGTTAGTTTACCAGAGGGTATTCTCTCTGCTCAGCTTTTTTGGTGTGACATAGAATGTTGATTTGCCCAGACATACATGTAATGCATGTATGAAAAAAATCGATATGCATACATATATTTTTTGAAGGCCGCTATACATTTTCCATCATGCATCCTTTGTAGAACTTGTTGAATGTTGTTGTGCTACATACATATATGTATATAGTATATATGTTGATGTGTACATATATATATGTGTGTGTGGTTGGTGGTTTGGAACAGTTTTGATTTTTCCCAATAGTTGGGATGATGATCCAATCTGACTTTCATATTTTTCAGAGGGGTTGAAACCACCAGCCAGGTATTGAGCGACGCCGACCTCTTAAGCCTCATGCAGCAGAGAGAGGTGCGGCGCTTCCAACAGCCTGAGTAGAATTATTGATGGATTGTAGTTGTTAATGGTTATATCAATAGTTAATGGTTAATCAATAGTTATATAAAGTTATGTTATGATGGATTGTAATTGTTAACCATTACTATGTTTTTGATGGATTAGTAATGGTTATATAAAGTTAATCAATAATTAATCATGATTAATATCAAGGGTTAAAATGTTGGTGACTAGTAGTTGACAACAGGGAATAAGTATTGATGTCAATATAATGCTTTATATGATATCCTCGATGGTTCATGGTGTAATTGACCACTAATATCCATAGTTCATATGGTTAATAATAGTTTATGACTATGGATGGATCCTGGATGTTGATATAATATTATATACATAGCATATTGTATACATAGCATATATACGTATGTTAGTGGATTAGGTTTTGTCATTAGTGGATACCCTGGGGTTTATTTCAACATGTCGATATGAAAACCTGTAGTTTTCTGATAAGAAGCTGGGGAACAGACAACTCTAGGATTACCCTCTGGTAAAAGTAAAAACAGTTTGCGAACTGTAAAATCACCATTGTTTATATGGGTAAATCAACTATAAATGTGCCATTGAAACAATGGCTATGTTAAATTACCAATTAGCATGGGTGTACATGGTTTTGATAAAGATAGAATGACATCTTTAAGTCCATGTCTTTGCCATCTTGACGGGATGTAGCAAGCTACAAACTGTTACAAGCTACAAGAACAAATGCAGGGTATCTACTACAGGATGTCACCATGAATTGGGGATGGCTTAGCCTGCAAAGAATTGGATAAAACAAGGGGCTAAAACAAGCTGACATGAGGACAAAGCAATACAAAGCCAATAAAAGCGGAATGTTAAGCAATAAAAATGCTAACCTCTGGTAATTCAACATAGCTATGGAAAATCACCATGTCTAATAGGTAAATCATCATAAACCACCTATTTCTACTGGCCATTTTCCAGAGTTATTTTAAAGAACCAGAGGGTAATCAAGGAAAAGCACATGTGCATCAAACGACAACGACACTGGAGATCTTGGCCGTCCAACTTGCCATTTGCGTCTTATCCACAGTGGTCAGAATCATCTGCAGGTAGTGTGGGCATTAAAATTCACAAGATATTTGGACGTATACCCTCTGGTTATTTAACATAGCCATGGAAAATTGCCCATTTATAGATGATTTTCCCATTAAAACCGCCATTTATAAGGGATTTTCCATGGCTATGTTAAATAACCAGATGGTAGATAAAAAGACAGAAAGGCAGGACAGATCGATCGATCCATTGGTTGGAGAGAAATGCATATGCATGCATGCCTCCATACATACGTACATACAGACAGACAGCCAGGCAGGCAGGCAGGCATATAAAATATAATATAGTGTAATATTATATAATGTAATATATAGTATAGTATATAATATAATGTAATGTATAATATAACAGGATACATGATATAACATGTACATGGTATGGTTTAATACAATATGATATTATACAATATGATATTACAATATAATATGATATTATAATATAATATGTTAGTACAATACAATATGATATTATAATATATTATGATATTATGATATAATATGATCACAATATTTTAATATAATCTACTATATTATAATATATTCTACTATATATATATATATTAATATATATATAACAATATATATATTATTGTTATATATATATAGTGTTATATATATTATTATATATATATTAATATTTTATCATATTATATTTAATATAATGTAACATCATACAATACAATATAATATAATACACTGCAATACAGTATTATATATACCATTATATAGT